GCGAAATGTTTTCACTCCAGCTAGGGTCAGAGGAGGTCAACAGCTTGGCTTTAATCTGTCTACAGAAGCTTTCAACTAAACTATTGGCTGCTGTGTAATACACCGTGGTCCGAATGCAGCGGCAGCCTAAAAGTTGCAGAACGTAGGGAATTGTGAATATTCGAAGGGCGTTCCATGGTCAGTTATAATGTTGGATGGGCATCCGTAGTGCGATACCCACGGACCTAAGAAGGCACGGAAAACTGTCTTAGATGCGCAGTCTGTCACGTGAATGGCTTCTGGTCCCCTGGTGTAACGTTAGACACATTTAAGAATGTAAACGAATCCACGCGAAGGAGGCAACGCAGCTACTAGGTCTAAATGTACATGAGCGAATCGTGAGTGTAAGACAGGAAATGAGCCAAGCGTACTGAGGTGGTGACGATGTATTTTGTGGCGGTGGCATTAAAGGCAGGCGTAAGACCAGTTACGAACTTTTTACGCTTGGCTAAACGAAACTTTCGGTGGGCAGTTTCAAAGATGCACGATTACCAGGATGTGATATTGTGTGAGAAGCGTCGAAGATAGTGCGTCTGAAAGAGATAGGCACGAGGCGTCTAGGACCACCTGTGGAAGTGTCACGGGGATGTTTGTTTTCGTGGTTTGAAGAGGAACGGTTTGCATATGTAGTGAAGTGGACTGCAGGGAGCGTTGGAGGTCCCCATCTCGAGCCTGAGTCGATGCCTAGGCGATAACGTCAACGGCGGGCAGAGACTGCAGGGTGTGGTTAACACGCAAGAGAGTGTCGGCGACAGGAGTGTCGACATCTGAGACACGACGTATGTCAGTAGTGAACTGCGTGACAAAATATAGGTGTATGGTATTTTCCGTGGTAATCATATGTCAGAGGCTGAGTTGAAGACGAAGGTGAGGGGCTTGTGGTCAGTGTAGTCTGTGAGTGTGCGGCTTTCAAGTGGCCGGATAAATGGTGAGCAATTCTCTGCCCAAGATGCTGTAGCGGGATTCCGCTGGCTACAGGCGTTTGGAGAAGAACTCATGTGGTCGCCATTGTCCACCCAGGGGTTGTCGGTGAATGGTTCTTGCCGCGACGCCTGAGGCATCAGTTGTGATAGAAAGGGGTGCGGTCGATTCGGAATGTGTGAGGAGAGGTATGCTGACGATAGCACCCTTGAGCTCGCTAAAGGCTGTCTGTGTCCGGAAAGACAAACTTACAATCATTTTCTTTTAGGAGGTCAGTCAAAGGCTGCATGCTCTGAGCGAAAGGAAGAATGAAGCATCTATAGTGGTCGTCTAGATCACAAAAGTTGACGTAATTGCTTGAATGAAGGGGGAGATGGGGAGTCCTTACTTGCCTAGGTCTTATCAGGAAGGACTTCGATAACAGGCGAAGAAACGGGATGACCTAGGAATTCAACCTTTGCCTTGTCGGGTTCACACCTAATCGAGTTGACTGGTATATCACGTTGGGACAAGCGCTGAGAGAACGAATTTTCGAGGTGCACTTCTTCAGATGAACTGGCTACTGGAATATCATCGGCGTAGGAATAAGTGAGGTCTAACCCGCGAGTGACATCGTGCGTGAAGCGTTTGAATGTTTGCGCGGTATTGCACAGTTCTAAAGGCGTTCCTAAAATTCAAGCAAGCGGAAAAGGTTGATGAAGACTGGTTTAGAAACGTCGTTTTCTACAGTTGTTAGGCGCAAACCAGATCGATCTTGTTGAAGATCGTATTACCTGGGATGCATACCGTGAGGTTCTGCATATGCAGGACAGGATACCTATTTGGTCAGTTAGCCTATTAAATGCGCCGTAGTTACTGCAAAGGCGCGGGTCACCAGATTACTTAGGGACCATCTGCAGTTGAGATGACCAAGGGCTGTCGGAAAGGCCGTTTATTCCAAGTTCGAGCTGTACTCAAACTCCGACCTAGCTACCTTAGATATTTTGGGTTATAGTCGGCGTGGACGGCATGAGACGGTGTAGCGAGGGTGGCCAGATTAGGCTAACAGACTACTGGCAAGTATTGTTCCCAGTGATTGATCAGAAGGCACAAAACGGAAGTGTATTGTGGTACATGATTTTTCCATGTATAAACTAAAATTGCGACGCCGAACCACGCGAGCTAGATAGGGAAGCTTGTGAAGGACCGCACGATGGAGCGGCTTGTTGAATCCAACCGCGACGCCATGTGTACATGTCGCGAGTGGGCTGGGTCTGACAAACAAATGCAACGTACATATCGGCACACTGCGAACAACCAAGGTGTACAATAAGGCAATTTTACCTAGTATTTTGCACAACATACTCAGGCAATCCGGGGGAATCTACGGACTGCTGCAAACCCCACCGCAAAAAGGGACTGTGTAAGCTCTCGTTCCATCTACATAAGCACTATCTGTCGCGGGTCGGATTTCTGCGAGGCCATGTGGTGAAATCTGATGCAGCTTCTGGTGGAGAATCAGGTGTTCGGACTCTAGCAGGCTCCCACCTGTGTCCTCCCTAACGGTGTCGAAACGATCACTATGTTTGCAAAGACGGTTCTTAGAGGTGTGACAGTTCGACGGCAAATGATCGGTGCAGAATTTGCAGCTTCCGGTTCCATTGTGAACGTACGACCGAGTTGACAGGCATATATAGCCAGCAAACGGGAAACAGTAATGACAATAGATTTTTGGGGTTTTCAAAACTTTTTACTTTTTTGGCGATTTCAAAACACTGGTACCATTTTCGGTATTTTCACAAATGATATGGTGGATCTATGCAGATAATGCACTGTATGGACAATACCACGAGGATAATATACTTGTTTGCCTGATTTAGTAGTTTTGGGTGCAATGGACGATGTCGGGGGAATTTCAGCGGAAGTCATTGAACTGCTAGGATTGCGCGTTTAGGAACAGTTTATGAAGTGTATAAGCTGCATCTTCAAGTGCTGCACTATTGGTGATATATCATTGGGTTTACGGGTTCCAATCTTGATGACGTTTGGTGATTTACATTAGCAATGTTTTTAGTTTGGTTAATAGCACTCGTATACACGCTGTGTGTTTACTGCTGATGTTTTTTATAAGGGGCATGTTCTTCAGCGTCTTAGTTGTTAGCGGTGCATAATTTTTGTCGAAGTCCTTGCATTCGTAACGAATGAGTGTTCATTTTCAAAGTGTATATGTTCCTGGTTGAACAACAGGGAGCGAGCAGAAATAGGCATTTCCGCAGTGGAACTTTTTTATATGTTCGGGGAAGAGTTGGGCAATAATGGTGGGTTACTGCGGCACTGACAGCAGTTGGAAGCTATTTTTAAGACTTACAATTCTGTTTCAACTTGTTAATTGATTTATTAATGGTCAAACTGCCGTCTAAGTCAATTAGCTGGGGAACTTAACCTGTTTCCGTGAGTAGCTGAACAAATTGGTCACAGGCTGTATATCGAGAATAGGCTCCATTGCACTCTCTCTGTAAAGCCGGCAAATCTTGTTTCAGTTGCGTCGATTTGTAATCCGCTTAAGGGATAACATACATTTACAACGATGGAATCGTTCGGCTAGTGTTTCCTTTAAAAATTTAGTAGATATTGGGTAGATATGCCTCAGGGATTTCTTTTTCAGCCAGAGGCAAGAAAACCGTAGTCTATCATTTGCAAGGAAACCGTTCAAATGTGGAAGGTCGTGAGATACAATGCCTTGCCAAATTTGTGCTGAGCAGAAAATTCTGCATGTTTGACCAGGGACTCCTGTGTAACGTATACTCAAGTTCTAGTTTTATTAGGTACCTAAGGAATTAAGCGGCTTCCTGGTTGAGTGCTGCGCAAGTTTGTTTGATTTAACAAATACGCAGTCGTTTCCTGGCTCGGACGCGTACTTTGAACCCACGACCATCTTCGCGCTCCGCACTCGTTCACATCTTCTCTAGCTATTCCACTTCTTGGTGCATAATTCCTAGCCGTAGCTAGGAATAATAAACATTTTCCTAGCTTGCTTTTGTGTGTTCTTCCGTTTAACTGCAGTTGGCCGCTTATTTGCATATCCGATAGTATCGGAGAGTACTCAACCGCCGCACTATAAACTCGTCATCTGTGGTTCCCCATAATTATAGTTCTTATTTGTCATGCAAACAGGTTCGTGACCGAAGCGTTGACTGATGTTTTGCATTTTTACTGCGTTGCACAACAACGGTTGCTGCCCACTGGCTGGCTTGTCTGCGAACTGGTGGGCAGTTCTGGGTTGGCTTCGCTTACATGCGCTAGCAACTTCCTAAGATACACTCAGGTCTTGCTCGTTCATAATGTTCCAGCATAAGCAAAAATAATTTAATAAGTGTGCTTCTATTATGAACCAATTATATTTATAGAGCATTTACATAAATCAGTATAGTGCCGTGGCAAGTTTTACGTTTCGTTCACAGTGCTCTTCATTAGCCAATGATATACAAGAACTAAATATCATGTACACTGCTGGATTTCATTTACACGTGCAGCGCAGTTTAGGCTGAGCTTTGCTTTGCAGCCGACGTGAGAGGAACGACATTATAACCAAAATTAAGCTAAGCAAACAAGCTTGTTTTCCACCTTTCTCATAGGCATGCACACTATAGCAGATGAATGAGAAAAAATACTAACAAGATATTTAAATTCACTGGACAAATGAAACGTGTTGTTTAGGCAATATGGTTACATGGTCATGCTGTTTGTAGTAAGGTTGTGGACGATGGCAAAAGCATCATTGTTAGCTGTTGTGGCTTGTGGCCATGGTAGGTGGAGAACTTTCACGTATTTCACTGCGCGCACAGGTCCGGATTGTGGAAGCGAATAGCGATCACCACTGCGTCTTTAGTAGGCGGCATCTGACTGCTAGCGTGTAATTTCTAACTATTCAGTGGGTTGGGTGCAAAGCTTTTTGCGGGTTGATTTGATGATTCGCGTAGACCATAATCTTACCCTAAACAATATGACCACATGACCATATTGATTAAACAACTTCTTTCATTGATTCATTACATTTAAATATCCTGTCTTGGTTTGCTTCTTATACACCTGTTCTGGTGTGCAAGTCTAGCGAGAACCACGGCAAACAAACTTGCTCGCTTGGCTTAATTTTATTGTCAAATTCTGCTGAAGGATTGCTTTTACAGTTTGAAAAGGACGACTTGTACCATCATCGCGATAAGCGCTTTATGTTATTTTCGTGCCGTTATCGATAATTCTTTGAAAGGTCATGTCAATGGAGGTTTCCCTCGAAGATTACCCTTCAAAAAGTCATCACTATCGTGGGACAAAGGGGCTGCTCATTCGTCGAAAATCCGCAAGTCTCTTCCTTTAATGATTGTATGTTGTGTCTCAGGTGCCGACGACATAAACACTAAAGGTTTCTCTATTCCATCATCTTGCCGACCTCCACCGGCATCCGTTTCTCGAAATTTAGGACGTTTGATATTCTGCCAAGTGTGTGGACACATTATCGAGGTTCCTTTGGGCCATTCAAAGCTAGTTGTATTATGTAGCAACTGCAAAGAAGCAACGGTAAGTACCATTTTAGGATTTCTGTCACTACGTCATGAGGTGTTATACACTGAGTTTTCTCGTGGCCTAATACCTTTATATTTGGAGCTGACTCGTGCGGAAATGTCAATTGTCCTATTAACCAGTTTTGTAACATTAGGTCCAGGATAACATTGAGTGAGCCGGAAGATAAACATGCCATACTCAGCATTTTTAGACTTGCATTCATTCAATATATCTTGCAGTATTTGTTTAGCTGTTATGGGTAGTGCATTGCACTTGAGCTCCTGTGTGATGACATATCACAGCAGAAAAACGAAGTTTATCGTCTAAGGAGTTACATGAATGCTAAGTGTTGCCCACTTACGGCAATGCAGTCGACGACCGGTCCCGCACTTACGCAGGATCGCCAACCAATTATAACGGGATTGGGCCTTGAAGCCTGAATAGTTGGTATGTCAACAGAAGCCTGTTCAATTAAGCTATCGCGTTGCGGCGAGCAATGCTTGTCGCACCATTAAATGACTTATTAAAGGCGACTTTTGAACTACGCTTTGAACTGTGAAACTTCTTCGTCTCCGAGGCGAACTTGCATCGATTTTTTGCCTGAGACCGCGTATATATATATATATATATATATATATATATATATATATATTTGGCGGCATCAGCGTCCGGAGTTGGTTGTGACTGTGGCCTCCATAGCACAGCCACAGGATAACTGCATATATCCATAGGGACCATCGATAGCATGTGCTGCACTCTCTTAGCTCCATCCACAAGCCCCATATTCGGTGTAAAGACAAATGGTTAAAACGCTGAGGCATATAGATGTCAGTCATGTAGGGCAAGCACAACTGGTCCGCCTTACTTCAACAGGCAGAGCAGCATTTCTGTCAAATTCGGAGCTCATGCGTACTAAACGTTTACAAGGCGGTGATGGGGCGTTAGCGCACTTCACATTGTATGGAACCACTAGTTCAGCTTAGCATGGTCACGAAGACCTCACCACTCGTCTCTTCCAGCAGTCAGTATCTATTTCCTGGAGCCAATAGAATCGAATTAGCGGTACTCAGGTATGTAGGCACCTCCTTAAGGTGCACGTCAAGCACAGTCATGCCGAGGTTATCAAGTGGCACCAAAGAATATGAAAGAGAAGAAACATGCAAACTGGACATTAAACATGCGGCCATACAGCAGAACAGAGAGACTACAAATATGTGCATTAATAGTAGTAGTAATAATAATAATAATAATGTATCAGCTGTACGCCGTAACGGCGCTTTGCGGCTGTGCGACCACCACTAGCCGCACGCGGACTGAGTATCTTGCAAGGATGCCCACCGCTACGCGAATCCGAACGCGCGCAGCAAGATTAGAAGTTCGTTACCTCTAGGCTACGGGTCGACAATACAATAGTTGCATTAGATCTGAGCCAGTGAAAGAGTGACCTTTGGCAAGTGTAAGTGTGATCCCGGAGTTATTAGCCAACGCGCAATGGAAACCCTAGTAGAAGGATGCAAAATAAACAGGGAATGTGCAGGGAATTAACGGAGCTAATCAAATAAAACCAGTGGGTTGAGACATATCCAGTGTATTGCGAAACAATCTTAAGCGTAAGTCACTCTAGCCGAACTGTGGTGAAGTGCATGCCAAGTGCAACATCGGCCTCAGCCTGAGGCACTATTCCTAAGGCTATCATCATAATAATAATTGTGGACAACATGATATTGCTGCGCGCTCGTAACATTGCACTCCACGACCTTTTTCGTGCTCATTTCACTCGTCCGCAGGGGTAAGAGGACCGCAATTTTTTATGATATCAACCGTCCATCCATCAATCTCCGAGTAATGCTTGCGACGATACACGGGTTTCAACGTTATGGTTCAAATTTTTCCAAATCCCTTCCATATAGGCCAATGCATACCCAAGTAGACAGATAGTCTTTTGATATCACAACTTATCAGCACGTGATAGTCGGCACGAAATACGATAACTTATGACGTAGCTTCGATTGTTTTCGTGACATCACCAAGTCGCCTTCCGCTTCATGTGAAATAGTTTGAGCCGGGGCACCATGACTCAACTGATCGCGCTTTTACTTTGCGTTAAAATGTACTTGCCGCCAAGTCCACAGTACACCACGTTACTTGTTGTTATAGATGAATATAACGATTAAGAGTTGGTCTTGCGACCCCGTTGCTTTTCGCCGTAATTCGATCGCCTGTACCTTGTGCTCTCATTGTATACTTGTCTCTCTTTCCTGAATGCATCCTGCCATCTGCCTCTAAATCGGACTTTCGACAGCTTTATCTTCTCACGTTTAGCTATCTTCTGAACTAAGCATGAAAACTTGAAGTCTTTTCTTAAGGCTACTCCAGGTACTAACCGCCAAGGACGTAACCGTTACGATCGATAGCCGTATGAAGAAGGCCGTGGCAACTAACGCTGCTTCCATAGCGGCACTGTTTAGGGACTCCTCTCGACGATCGATACAGTGTACATTAACTGGGATTGCGATTCGGACACTGTAACTAAATCAGGCTGTGACCTTCCAATACCCTACATCAAGATGATCATTGATTAAGCTCTCTTTCCTTTGTACTTCGATAAGCAGCTCCGGGGCCCGTAGCGTACGTGCTAACCGCTATGCCCATGCGCATGCCATGCTTGTCTTATGATAGAGACTAGCTCGCTGTTCCGCTTAGGAGAGAGTTATATCCAGGACCCGCCGCATTTCCAACTCATGTAGTTTCAATGTACACACCAGGAATTTGGCTGTTCTAAGTATCCGGTTGAAGGCCGATTTGAAGACAAACACCGCAGGTATTCAACTGTACACCCTTGTTAATGCACATATTAGATTTGGAGAGATAAGCCTACTTAATGTAATGGATGTTGAGCTTGTAAATAAAGAGTACACTCGAAACGAAATAGACACATAGGGTTAGTTAAGCATGGGTAAGCATGCAAACACGATTTATAGCCAGTTAGGTTGCACACAATACGCAGTGAAACACCAAAGCAATTAGAAGAAATGCGCCCCACTGTGAAGCTCGCTGAATCGTCGCAGCGCCGATGGACCGGAGCCAAACAGACGCCGGGTCTAGCCCAGAATACAAGGGAAACAGCGTGATTTTTGACATCTGTGAAGCGCATTGGTCAGCCCTATGGTAAGTGGATACCTCACGCCGGAGTCGAGGTTAACGACACGCATCACTGTGTCAACTAGCTAGCCGAGGAAGCACCAGCCTATTTGCCGCATAGCTAGTTAGACGCCACTATGCAGTCCATCAGCAATGGCTACAACGGGCTAGATTCGATAAGCAAGTATTGGACTAAGTGAAAAACAAGCACGAATGAATTGGATGAAACTGACGTCACCAGCCAATCAACATGGTTCACCCAATAAACGGACGACAGCAGAATACTATTTATAGTCCTTTTAAAAACAATCTCTGAACGCTGCTCAGCATTTGCCCTTGTTTCCCGGAGGGCAACTTGACACCATCTATGTACCTGTAACTACTGTCATGGAGCCGCTATCTGGATATTGTTTACCCGGAATTCAAATACGGCTGTTAAAATTTTGATTATTCATAGTATGTAGGTCAGCAAATAGTAAAGAGAATCATGATTACCAACCCGAATGACGCCGTTGTTTAACAGTGCATCTGACATGCATTCAAGCAGGGAGAAGCTCAAATGTGAGTCAAAGAGGTGTCAAACGGGTGCTTGGTAACTATCCTACGAAAGCAAACGATAAACTTTCAAACTGGGTAGGACTGAATTGAATTGTGCAGGGTCCTGTAGAGTAAAACAGTTACCGGAGAAGATTTACATGTCCAGTTAGTTGAAAGAAATTCATACGTTAGATACACTAAAAATGATATTTCCGCTAGACTGTATCGCGTTCACTAAAAGCCCTTTACGTGACCCCTCAAGTTAACATGCATAAAGATACTAGTCGTGTTCGACCACCTCAGCCTTCGCAGCTTGGCCACAATGCTTACTAGATAGTATTTGTACTCAGCACATGTTCAGATCCAAAACAGAGTGTAGTAGTGTAACATCAGTTATTTGGAAGTTTGTCTTTTACCCCTAGTATCGAACAATCATGTATACTGAAAACGCCGCCTCTCGCACTCTTACTGCGCCTCTGGACTAAAATACGTCGCATCAAGGTGCAAAATTGGCCGGCCTCTTCTTTTCAGTTTTTTGTCAATCAGTCCGCTGGGTAGGAGTTGGGTTACACACTTCAAACGAAGATACAGGACACACTTCTGAGTCAGTCGGTTTACTGACTCATGGCGCGCATCTCGTTGCCTTTCGGGGAGTACATGTTCTCAAATGCCTTGGCTGCGGACCCGAGTCGTTTTCCTGTTCAGGTGTGGACGACTTAGAAGTACACCAGTACAAAACCAAACTATGAAACTTTGTTTGAGTTCGCGCTAAGGAATGTCGGGGACAGTTCAAATGTCGCATTATTTAGTTCGAAAGTGAGTGGCTGAAAAAACCTCAATATCTGTTGTTGATTGTAGCGTTACTCGTAACAACCGTGGTTGTCCGTAATGTGTCGAGTTTGGGTGCCGCACGATGCGCACCACGCTAGCCGGTTTTACTTGGGCGCCTATTCTTTGCTACATAGAATCTCAATGTTTTCGGTCGTTCCACTGATTATCATTTGTGGAGTTGGGGTTAGATTCAGGAGCACTGGAACACATGATCTTCAGTGGCTAATGGGCTCGTCTTGCAGTAATCAGTTTGCCAAGAAAAGGGCTCTAAATCTTTGGTGGAGTGATTGGCATGTGTATGACCTTTGGAACGGGCTGTTTGATCGAGTCAGGTGTAGTAATACACTTTGCTCTTGGTGCTTGGGCAGCAACAACGGACACATATGCAGTCACGCCTACAGCAGTAGCAGGTGTGCTCACGTGTGCCGGTGTAGCACGCTACACAGCTTTGTTCGTTTGCACTATCCACTGTACCAGGATGACAACAGCCGGAGCAGGTGCAAGTA